CCCCGGCACGTGTGGGGTCCCACGCTGCGTGGCTCGTGACCGGATGGGGGGCAGGCCAAGCGTGCCCAGGGTGGACACTCCTCGGGGAGGCCCGGGGAGGCCTGATCGGACAGGGCCCTCACCACCGCCTCTGCCTTCCAGCGGGAGAAGTCCGCCATCTACCAGCTGGAGGAGGAATACGAGAACCTGCTGGTGAGTCCGAGCCGGCCGCCAGCCTGGCCGCACTGGCCGCTGCTGCTTTCCCTCGAAGTGCGCGTGCGTCATGTCGACATTCTTCTGTGACAGTGGACGCTCATGGCGTGACCGCTGGCCCCAAGGGTGCGGGCACGTCTCGGGCCTATGCAGCAGAGCAGGCTCCCCTGGCGGCCCCGGGGGTGGGGTCAGGGGTGTCACGGCCTCATGACAGTCGCCGGCCATTTCACTCCAGAAGAAACGTTTGATCACGAGTCCGGGGCAGCTCGGGGCTTGGCCGGGCGCTGCGTGGAGAGGGCGGTGGCCTGGCCCTCCGTGGGCAGCGGGCGGCGGGAGACCAGCTCGCTTCTGCAGCCCCCCGCTGGCGCCCCAACCTCCGTGATGGCTCAGACTCTCCCCGACTCCCACGAGGGGGCGTTTCCGTGCTTCTGCCGGTCACCCCAACCTCGTGGGCAGTGGCGCTTGACATCCTGCTGGGGCTGGGGCGTCACGCGGTACCTCGGATTTCGGGGTGCAGCAGAGGGCAGGGTGAGCCGACGTATCTTTGTGATCAGACACTTCCCCTCTATCATGCAAAGTGATGGCTGAGGCCAAACACGAGGGTCTGAACCGGCCTCTCTGTCCTGCTGACCACACGGCTGCCCCTGGTGAAAATAAAAGCAGCAGACGCCCGTGACCTGACAGGACTCGTGTCCTCCCAGGCACGGGCTGGCCAGGCCCTCCAGCTCGGGCGGTCAGTGGGGAGGTCAGCTGTGGTGGTCAGCTGGGACAGCCAGGTCGGGTGGTCAGTGGGGAGGTCAGCTCGGGTGGTCAGTGGGGAGGTCAGTTTGGGTGGTCAGTGGGAAATTCAGCTGGGACAGCCAACTTGGGTGGTCAGTGGGGAGGTCATCTGGGGTGGTCAGCTGGGACAGCCAGCTCCGGCGGTCAGTGGGGAGGTCAGCTCCGGCGGTCAGTGGGGAGGTCCTCTGGGGAGGCCAGCAGCTGGGACAGCCAGCTCGGGCGGTCCGGGGGAGGCCAGCAGAGCGGCCTGGCGGAGCCTGACCGCCGCCCGCCCCGCAGAAAGCGTCCTTCGAGCGCATGGACCACCTGCGCCAGCTGCAGAGCATCATCCAGGCCACGTCCCGCGAGATCATGTGGATCAACGACTGCGAGGAAGAGGAGCTGCTGTACGACTGGAGCGACAAGAACACCAACATCGCGCAGAAGCAGGAGGCCTTCTCGGTGCGCGCTCGCCTCGACCGCGGGGGCCCCCGGGCGCCAGGCTGTGCCCGCGTGGGCTCGGGCTGAGCGGCCTCTCCCCGCAGATCCGCATGAGCCAGCTGGAGGTGAAGGAGAAGGAGCTCAACAAGCTGAAGCAGGAGAGCGACCAGCTGGTGCTGAACCAGCACCCGGCCTCGGACAAGATCGAGGTGGCACCACTAACCGGGCTCTGCCGGGCAGGGGCGGGGGCGTGGCCCGCCCGTGGGCCGGGGGGTGGCCGGCCGTCCCACACCTTGGGGTCGGCGCCTCGGCGAGGCTGTGCGCGCCCCCGGAGAGGGCTGAGCACGGAAGAGCCTTGGCTGGCTGGTGACGTGGCCTCGAACGGCCACGTTGGGGCAGAAGCCACCACGGGCGCTGTCCACGGGTGATGTGCTGCAGTTTCCACAGAACTTCCTCTGCAAGCGCAGGCAGTGGGCAGAGGTGCCCTGGGCTGTGGAGCGCCGTCCACGGCCCGCGACCGCCCTCGGCTGGTGTCGGTGGGCCACGCCACTGCTTCAAAAGTGGAACTGCTTACACGGCGCTGTCGGGGTTGGGCCGGGGCCCCCCGAGTCCCTGTGTGGGTGCCTTCCAGCTCCCCGTGAGCCCTCGCGGCGTGGGGTGGGGTGCGGGAGGGATGCGGCTCCTGGGCCGTCCCTGGGGTCTGTCTTGGGGGGCAGCGCTTTGCCGTTTGAACCTGCTCAGGGGACTCAGATTAGCGTTGGCACCTGATTTCAGCCATGCAGGATTCTGTGTCGGGAAGCTGCTGTCAGGGTTTGGGGAAAGTTGGCTCGTCTTGGAATCAGGTCGAGTAGGCTCACGCAGCTGGGGGCCCGGGTCGGGGGCGCCTCTGTGGCTGTGCGGGGACGAGCAGCCTCCTCTCTGGTGCAGGCCTACATGGACACGCTGCAGACCCAGTGGAGCTGGGTCCTTCAGATCACCAAGTGCATCGACGTCCACCTCAAGGAGAACGCGGCCTACTTCCAGGTACTCGGGCCTGCTCAGGTCCTAATACTGCATTGTGGGGCCTCCCGGAGGCCCAGGGGCCCGCCTCAGGCTGTCACCCCCACAGCCAGAGTGCACCCCAGCTGGGAGGGACCCTCCTGTTGCCCCACTGTCCCCTCAGCGGTGGGTTGCAGGGGATCTGCCCGCTCTGCTCCCCACTCTGTCTCTGGGGGGTCCTCTTACCTCTGCACCCCAGTTCTTGTGTGCACTAAGAAATACGCTTAACAAATATCGTATCTTGAGAGAATCCTCAAAACGTGGCCCGTGTGGTCATTGCCTGACAGCGACACGTCCATTGCCGGGGCTTGTGCTGCACGGTGCAGTGCACAGGTTTTAGTTCAGAGGCGCTCAGCTGGGCCACCAGACACTGGCCATTCCCTGTTGCCAGCATGTGCCGAGCCCTGTGCTCGAACCTCTCCTTCAGCTGTCTGACAGACACACTCGGGGTGATGGGAGGAAAAGGCCTATAGGCTGGCGTGGCTGGTGTGGCCTGCGTAGCCCACATGGCCTGGGTGGCTCAGGTGGCCATGTGGCAGGTGTGGCTCAGGTGGCCTATGTGGCTCACGTGGCCTGCGTGGCCCCGGTGACTGGTGTGGCTCACGTGGCCCACATGGCCGGTGTGGTCTGCATGGCCTGCACAGCGCTGACTTGGGGGTCTGTCCTCACAGTTCTTTGAAGAGGCCCAGTCGACAGAGGCCTACCTGAAGGGGCTGCAGGACTCCATCAGGAAGAAGTTCCCCTGTGACAAGAACATGCCTCTGCAGCGCCTGCTGGAGCAGATCAAGGAGCTGGAGGTACAGACCACCCCCCCACCACGAGAGCCCCCACCCCGCCCCAGCCCAAGGCACGGTCAGCGCCTCTTGCCGCCTCTTTGCCACGTTCCTCACCCCTGTGGAAAGCTTTTGCCTCTGTAATCACGGAGGCCCCAGACAAAGGCGGAGGGATGACTGGTGACTTAGAAGGCTTTTGGGGCGCCCCTGGGGTCCTCGCCCCTGCCCACTCCTCCGGGGGCTGCCGAGAGCCCCCCCCATCCCCGCGGGGAGGGCCCTCTGGGGCGCCACGTCAGGGCCGCTGTTGCGCGTGTCCCCGCAGAAGGAGCGTGAGAAGATCCTGGAGTACAAGCGCCAGGTGCACAACCTGGTGAACAAGTCCAAGAAGATCGTGCAGCTGAAGCCCCGCAACCCCGACTACCGGAGCAGCAAGCCCATCATCCTCCGTGCGCTGTGCGACTACAAGCAGGACCAGGTGCGTCCACGTGGGGGCCGCGAGCGGCGGCCATCTGCCGCCGGGATGCCCCTCACCGGCCGCGCGGGTGCCCAGGGCGTGCGGTGGACGGGGCAGAGCAGTGGACAGACCGAGCAGGCTCCTTCTGCCTGAGGACATCGCCTGGCCCCTCCCACATATCCGTCCGTCGGGGCCCTCCGCTTGTCCCGTGGAGGGGACGTGTCTCCGTGGCACTTCCCGACCCAGCGTGTGGCCCGTGGCAGACACAGGCGGCCTCATCTGGTGTCTGTGTTACCCGCTGCGGCTCTGTCTCCCACACGCAGTGTGGTCATGTCGGGAGTGTCGGCCCAGGGCCCCCCTTCCACTGCGTGGCGTGGGTCCGTGCACAGTGCTCTCGAGGGACGGCCTGGCAACTGTAGCCCCCACTTGCCTTTCAGAAAGTGGTGCACAAGGGTGACGAGTGCATCCTCAAGGACAACAGTGAGCGCAGCAAGTGGTACGTGGCCGGCCCCGGCGGCGTGGACATGCTCGTCCCCTCCGTGGGCCTCATCATCCCGCCGCCGAACCCCCTGGCCGTCGACCTGTCCTGCAAGTAAGCAGGGGCCCCTGCTGGCAGGGCGGGGCAGGGGAGGGGCGCACGCACCCCAGGCCGAGGCGTGGCGCCGTGGCGCCGTGGCGCCGTGGCCTGGGAGCTGCTCGAGGTGTGGTGCCAGGTTTCGAGTTTCCCGAGACCACCAAGGAGCCGATCCCGATGCAGAGCACGCGAGGATCTTGACTGCAAGCGTGAGCCTGGACTCCCAAGCTGCACCGAGCAGCAGCTGAAGTTGAGAGCCCCGAGCTCAGGGCAGGCAGGGGTTTTATTACAGAAGAGGGAGTTTCAGCCGAGCAGAGGGGAGTGTTTGCTCGGCAGTGCACCGATTGGTGGACACTGAACACAGTTGTCTTGCCGTAACCCGGGTGGTCTCTGCATGTAAGATGTGACTTCGCTACTGGCCCGCACACCTTGGGACACCTGCTATCTTCCTGCCATGGACTGGTCACTGCCTACTTGCTAACTGGCTGTTGCTATGGGATGAGCGAGATCAGGACATTTACAGTCGAACTCGGCCTCGGCGCCTTGTTGGCCGAGCCGGGGCCAGCTGGCGCCCTCCCCGGAGACGTGGGGCGGCCTCCTGACAGCCGGCTTCGGGCTCCTGGGGGCCTCTTCGCCCCGGCGCCCCCGCCCGAGAGCGTCCGGGCCGCCGCGCCGTGTCGCTGGGGAGCGGGGTACACTGGGTCTCGGCCCCGGGCCTGAGGCATTTCCACCGCCTCCGTGGTCGTCCCCGGGCACGGAAGGGGCAGGGCAGCACTTCGAGTCACACCTGAAGGCCAGGCCTTCAAGCCGGGCGCCCGGCTGATCTGGGCGGGAGGACGCCCCGTGTCTGCTTCCGACACCAGCAGTTGGGGCGTGCGCCTGGCCGTGGGTGCGGCCCTAGGCCTGGGGGCCCGTCCGAGAGAGGTCCGTGGGCGGCGACACCAGGCCGAGGCCCGGCCTGGCTCTGCACCTTCGGGAGCCTTCTCCCGGGGCCCCTGGGCGGGGGTGCGCCGACGCGGGCGAGGGTGGGGCTGGGTGGTGCCTGGGGACCCCCGGGCGAGGGGAGCCCCCAGCACGTGCCTCTGTGCCGCCAGGATCGAGCAGTACTACGAGGCCATCCTGGCGCTGTGGAACCAGCTGTACATCAACATGAAGAGCCTGGTGTCCTGGCACTACTGCATGATCGACATCGAGAAGATCAGGGCCATGACCATCGCCAAGGTGTGCCCCGGCGTCCCCGGTGGCCCCGGGCAAGCCCCGGTTGGGACTGGTCAGGGCCTGGTCAGGTCAAGGTTGGGCCCCAGTTGGGCCCCGGTTGGGCCCGGTTCAGGCCAAGGTCAGGCTAAGGTTGGGCCCCAGTCAGGCCCCAGTTCGGCCCGGACAGGCCCTGGTTGGGACCAGCCAGGGCCTGGTTAGGCCAAGGTTGGGCCCCAGTCGGGCCCCGGTTGGGCCCTGGTCAGGCCAAGGTCAGGCCCAGGTTGGGCCCCGGTCAGGGCCTGGTCAGACCAAGGTCAGGTCCTGGTCAGGCCTCAGTTGGGCCCCTGTCAGGCCCTGGTTGGGCCCGGGTCAGGCCAAGGTCAGGTCCCGGTCATAGTCCTGGTCGGGTCCCAGTCAGGCCAAGGTTGGACCCCTGGAGGGATCTGGGCAGCCCTGGTCAGGCCCGATTAGGGCCCGGTCAGGCCAAGGTCAGGCCCTGGTCAGGTCCCAGTCGGGTCCCAGTCAGGCCCCTGTTCAGGTCCTGGTCAGGCCAAGGTCAGGACCCAGTTAGACCCTGGTCAGGCCACGGGCAGCCCCGGACAGCCTTAGTCAGGCCCCAGTTAGGCCAAGGTTAGGCCCCGGTCAGGCCCCGGTTGGGACTGGTCAGGGCCTGGTCAAGCCAAGGTCAGGACCCAGTCAGGCCCCAGTCAGGCCCCGGTCAGGCCCCGGTCAGGCCCTGGTCGGCCCCTGGCAGCCCCCAGTGAGGCCAGAGCAGCCTCACGGCCACCACAGTCGGGCACTCGCCCCGCCAGGGGGGTCTGCTCCCCGGGGGTCTGGCCGGCCCCTGGGACGTCTCCCCTCTCCCAGGGCCACGAGCTGAGTGCATGTCCTGGAGGCGCAGGGGTGGGGCTGGGGGGGCCACCGGGCGTCCCTTACTGCCGACCAGGGGGTTCCCCAGCCGGGCCTGCAGAACCAGCGGGGGGTCCGGGGTCCCAGCCAAGGCTGGGCCGTTTGGGGCGCCCCTCCCCCCCTCTTCCCAGACACCCGGGGCCACGGGGCCGTGCCCCTTCCAAGGACAGCTGCCATCAGCGGGGCCGGGGCCTGGGGGGCGAGAGCCCCGCCGGCCGGCGGCCCCGAGCCCGGTGACGCTGACCGCGTCCCCCCCCGCAGCTGAAGACCATGCGGCAGGAGGACTACATGAAGACCATCTCGGACCTGGAGCTGCACTACCAGGAGTTCATCCGCAACAGCCAGGGCTCCGAGATGTTCGGCGACGACGAGCGGCGGCGGGTGCAGGCCCAGTTCACCGATGCGCAGAAGCACTACCAGACCCTGGTCATCCAGCTGCCCGGCCACCCGCAGCACCACACCGG